AATCTTCGATTACTTAATCCTATGGAAAAAAAGCATTGAGTGCTGCTCCTAAGTAACAGCTTTATGATTTTTCTGCTAGTTTTTTCGAAATCCCAATATAGATTGTCTTGATTAGACACAACGGAGGAGGCATATTTCCGTTAAATACAAACATAACTCTCATATCAACTTACCGCACAAGCGTACGAAAATGTATTTTTTTTGAAACAAAATGCATACTTACTTGAAAGCGCCTGATTGTATGCCTTTAAGGCAAAGCGTTGAAAAATGACGAGCATCTTCGGACGGCCAGCTTGATAAGTACCTTCTGCTTCTTCTTTTTTTAATAAATTTTACTAGCATGCACTCACAGTACTTAATATGTATGTATGTACATATGTATGCACCAGCATGTGCTTTAAAGTATTCGCATGCATATACTCCCTGTGAGGAAAATCTCAAGTTCTGAACTGGTGCGCTTCTAGTAAATATATTTAGACCCAGTACTGGTTCGCGATAAATCTTTTTTTGCATGCAAACAACTGGCGAATTTAACATAGCCATCTCCTAGGAAGTGTCAATTGCCTTTCCGGTGCATCCCTTTTTTGATAGTTCCGAACTAGTCCTAAACTCTATAGTTCCCAACCAGTTGTAAAATCGACAGACGAAAAAAAAAGTGTCATGATTTTTCAAACTTTTCTGTTCTTTCGTGTGTGTAAATTTAAACTATTTACAAAGAAAAATGTTTTGAATTTGAAATTAAATTTGTTTGAAAAAAAAAAAAAAAAATTGCTTTTTAGTATTGATATTTTATGTCTAAAAGCAGTTGGTTAAAAGTTAATTGACATCTATTGCAGACGTAAGCACTCTTGGCTATTTCGCAGCCTTCGCCATAGAAATATAGTTAGCTTTCGTCAAAGAAAATATACAGATAATAGTGACCTTTAGTTCCTTTCCACATCAACATCAAATTAACTTATAGTTACATATGTACATTTCCTGCAGGGGAGTAATACATTTACGCAAGTGTACACCATAGGGACCGCTAGTCCGATACGAGGAAAAATTTTTACATTTTAGTATATGAAATTTACTCACACAAAATTTGTTATGTACAAAGGATCCTCTGGCTTACATTACTAATAGTGTAGCAGGGGAATTGCCTTTAGAAAATTAAGTAACCGCAAAGGGGATAGTAGTTACTACATGGAAGAAGAGTGGGAATTTTCGTAATCATATTTAATGCTGAAATTTTGTAGAATATTTATGTTACTGTGTATGCTACGTCTTTATGCTTTTGAAGCCAATGGAATTTCGTGCTTAGAGGAGATGAAAGCTTTGCCAATGCTAATCATGTTTAGTATTACTTTGCTGTCTTTAGTTGACGAGTCGAAATGTAAATAAAGATTTATATTATTTAGATTGCTTGGTTTATGGTAACTAGTTATTGTCTCATTATTCCTTAACAATTATTTGGTCGTCGGGTAGGTTTTCTTTATCTTCGGGAAAAGAAAAGCTTAAAATTTCTACACAAATATTACTGACATACCGGCAATTTGATTTGGAAACCGATCATGTATTTTAGGTATAAACTATATAGAAGGTTTTGGAGTAAATCATATTGATGTATTGTTTAATGACACATGTCACTAAAATTGAAAATTGACCAGGGGATGACGGAGATTCCTTAGAAAATACATAAATTTTAAAATAGCTCGCTTATCAGACTGCTAAGGCTAGGTCAGAATATACCACCTGATAAATACAATTATATCTCGAGAAGGACAAGATAATCAAGTGTCAGTAATCCCATAAGTTAGGTTAGGTTAGGCGGCTGCCTACATTCCACGTGGGAGATAAGTCATTGGCCGGCAAACCCATTCTACTAGCATGCCTTTCCATTAAGCAGTGGCCCGTTATGATACCGGTCACGAGCCTTAGCAGAGGGCGTTCTAACCTAATGAGCGCGTCGGATCTTTTCTTGCCGAGGCTGGGCCAGATTTGTCGAGTCGTCCCACACGTATGAGAGAAGTTGACGTCCTCGCAAGCTCGTTAGCTGCATAATTACCTTGAAGGTCCCTGTGGCCCGGCACCCACACAATGTGAGTAGAAGATTTGAAGGTGCAGTGAAATAACGCCCGCGGAAATAATGCCAGTCTTCCCATAAATTGTCTTCTGTTCCATGTGCTTAGGAAAAGCAAATACCTAGCTAGACCTTCTGAAATTAAAGGAATGTAGAGTCTTACCCTGCAGCCCTTTGATGCTTTGCAGTCATTCACCCCGTGTTCAACGGTGGCTTGGACTCTAACTGATTGCGAACCAAGGAATACCAGTCTGAATGAGCAGAATTCCCATTAATAGGTGCTCTCAAGGGACCCTCCACCCAGAGTAAAAAACTGCATTGCCAAACTAGTTAGGTTGAAAGTATGTAATCAGTAAGAGGGCTAGCCAATGCTTTGGATGTAGCTTCGATGTCAGAACAGCCGCGTAAACTTCAACAAGTAGGACATGGTTTTGTGGATTACAAATACCTTGGTTGAAATACCGAAAGAAGTGAATAGTGTCTGCCTTATTTTCAATATAAACTCCAGATCTTGGCCCTGCGACAATTTTGGAGCCATCAGTAAAGATTCTACAATGTGTAAGACCAGTCTAAAATATGCGGTTAAGCCAGCAGTCAGCCTCAATCAACTCAACTCAAAATAAAATGAGTTAGTGCCCTTTGACAAAGGCTCTGTTGGCCTACTATCAAAATACATTAACGTCTTTATCTCTGCCTACGTTAATCCCCGACCCTTTTAATACGGTATCATACCAGCCCACATTTCCTTTAACCCTACAGGTGGCCTTGGAGACCTCGCCGTAGTGAAAAATATTCAGCCCTATTGTGCGGACTTCAATACCAAGCGCAGCTAGTGGAATCAGAACATTTGCCCAATTCTGACCAAGCGGCTTGTACGGCCCTGAGATATGAGCTGGTAACATCAAAACTGGTGATGCCTTAATAAGCTGAACAATTTTGGTCTGAGTTCTCTGGGCTCCGCAACACAGTGGTATTGAAGGAAAAAAGATTGCCGATGAACTCGGAAAAAGAAGCATTAACGCCCTTCTTCCGTCCATAGTCCTTAAGAGCACTTTCTACGTTGGCCAGACAAGTTGCTGAAGCTCACAAAAACCGCTGCTGGGACTACCTATCCAAAGCCCCATGGCAATAATCTCAAAAGCTTCAAAAAATGCATGAGTTTATGCAAGAATAACGTTATAATCATCACGGCAATTCCTACACCAAATTGATGACCTATCATCTGACCTATCAGAGCATGCAGTTTCTAGTACAACAAAGTGCAAGTTTGAAGCGACTACAAAATACCGTTGATTTCTGTCATTTTTTGATAGTATAGAAAGGCCGTATCTGAAATGTTGCCTTCTTTACAGTGTAGTTATAAAAAATTATATAAAAATTAAGGTTATTCAGTTGCGATTTTCTTCATTACATTGGTTTTTCATGTAGCAGTTGTCTCTAAATTATTTCAAATCGCTCAAAAAAAAATGAGTTAGGGCTTTTCTATATTAAGGTAATGTGAATGTATGTTTCAGCACACAACCAGCTCTAAAAAGTTTCGCAATGAGCAACAAAACTTTCAAAGTTACTGACCTAACCCTTTTACTTCGATGCTTCTTTAAGGCCGCATACATTTCTTTAAATTATTCATAAGATGCAGTTTTTTTCTGATTGAAAATATGTACATAGATACAAAACAACTTTGAAATTTACTTTGAGAGTGGTAGCACAGCAACAACACAAAAAAATTTAAATTTTTTTCGGACTTTAGCGAATACTTGACAAAAGTTCGAAAGCTTTTTTGCATACCTACATCGCTGCTGCCAATGTTTTATTTAAGAGGAGCCAAGCGGGGGCGAAATTTTCGAAATTTCTACTGCGCAGACGCGTGCCTTGATAACTGTGCGGGAGAGAGAGTAAGATTGAGAGAGCAAACAAGTAACGGCATTTGGCGCTCTGTTTTCATTTACTCTAACAACGCTGGTTGGCGGGATTTTGCGCGCTTTTTCTGTGCGGGTCAGCTGTCGAAAGAGTGATGTAAGAAGGTCATGCGCGTGTTTTCTACAGACGTCAACAATCCTCGCTTTACAAACCCACTTTTTTTTGTTTTTTGTAATGTTTATTATTACTATGTAGTTTGTTTTGGTTCGAAGAAAATGCAAGCGGAGTGTGTATGAATAATTCGCAAAAGGGAGAATAAAAGCCATTTGTTTGTTTGTGCGAATAAGTAAGCTAGGCTTGCAATAAATTATTCGTGTATGTAATAATATAAATAAATAAAAATAAATAAATATTCTTAAGGCCAAAGTCGCCACGCAATTCACAAGTGACTGCTCGCCGGCATGCCGCGCTGATATTCATGTCTAATAAAACTTAATTGATTCCATTCTTCGCAGACAACGTTTGAAGAATTTTGTTTTTGTTTCTTTTTTATTTGGTGCGGTTTGTTGTTCGGTTGCTTCTGCTGTGTTAATATTTTGCTTATTTGTTTTTTTTTTCCCCCACAATAAAAGCATCTCCAATTTTGCGACACTTAAGCCGACGCGTCGATCTCCTCTTTAGCTCTTGCTCTTGCAACAAATTATTATCTACATATGTATCATTCTCCAGCTTGTTTCGCCGTTATTCTGTCAACACTCAGCCAGTTGCAGCCATTTCTTTCCATAAGCATTTGAGTTTGCCATTTCCAGTTCCGCTTGTTTCAGCTAATTTCCCACTTGCATTCCGCTTGCCACAACGTTCCATTTGCTTGCTCAATCTTGTTGCTCGCATTAAATTCAGTTTTATTTTAGCCGCAACCACGAACGGGCGGTTTTATTGTGTGGTGCTAGAAAAAAAGTTATTTTTCTTAGTTACTTTTATGACTTCAATTTAAAAGCAGAAAAACATCACTCAAGTACCTTAAACTATAAAGTAGTGTATGTTTGCCAAATGTAAAGTAGAGCTTCGACGAAAAATTAAATATTTTTGAGTAATTTGTGCACATAACTTAAGTGCGAATTATGTATGTTCAAGGATAACGAAACGTAGAGCCATAAAGTGTACCGAGCCATAAAGTGTAAATGAAGGTATCCGGTTGAATGGTGAGAAGGTGCATTCAAGAAGCGCATTTCAGCGTCGAGTGTACGAACGGAGTTGCAATTTTTACTTCCATCTCGCTGTTTGAATGTAAAACTATACACTTTTTTCATAGCCGAGTCAAAGTTTGTGTCCATAAAACATCTATTAATAATAAAAAAAGTATACAAAAAATTTTAAAAATATTTGCCGCTTATATTTTTTTACTATGTAGGTACTTGGCTAAACTTCTCCTGCAATATGTGATATGCGTCCTGATTTCGCCAACTCAATTGGAGGGATCTAAAGTTTTACGTTGGGTTAGGTTAGGTTAAGCTGGCTGGCCAGTAGAGGCCTCAGTTAGACCAAAAGGGCAGCATAGTATCATCGGCCGATGTATATCCGACCAATGCATCGATGTTCACAACCCTGAGGCAATCAAAGAACAATGCCGTGCCTTTAGCGAATTGTAGTAGACACTTGGGTCCTTTGTCGATTACTGCTTTTGGGGCCCTGTAGGCGTACTTTTTCAAGTGCCTAGTGCGCTTGTTTGTCTGCTCAAAACGAGACACTCGCAAATTATGTACTCCACTATTGATCTTCCTATACTCTTTATCTTTCTTCGCAGCTGGTTTGAACGCATGTCCTGCTTACAAGCAGTGTACCGTTAGCAGTCCTAGCACAGGTCTTGAGTCGGCTCGTTTTATTGGTAACATAAAATGCGTAAGATTTCTATCGTACGATATATGTATGTACACATAGACTTTGCATCTCTGCCTAATTTTTTGTCCTGGATCCTAAAATATCGTCGATGATGCAGCAAAACGATCTATATCAACTAGTACCCTTGACACTTACATTGTAGGTGGTATGCTACCATAAACTATTGACAAAACTAGTGCCTTTTGGCTGATAAAAATCAACGATTAACTGAAGCGATACGACACAGGTGACGACAGATCACTTAAGTACTTGAGGTAATATTTGACATAGAACGTTTTGCAGCATCACCTACGTTATGTAGGTAAATAGTTATTGCCATGGCCCGTGGCTAAACTTCCTATAGCCTATTTAAAGTAGTAAATATATGAAAGTAGAGCCCAAATGGCTGTTTAAGTGCTAACAGGAATGTGCATCCACACTTCACTCGATAGACTTGATTCCTGCAGTATCTGAGCTTAAAAACTGAGGGTGGCCTATTTTTCGTAACTGTCAACCACTCCAATACCCCGGTTTAACAATAGCTGTAAATATCCAATGTGAAAGAGCAGACGAAAAGTCCCGAGTACATCTCAACGTCCTTTTATTTTTATACATGCGGATGAGGCCTTCTTTACACGCAAATATACTCGTACATTGAGTACTCTCATCGGACATTTAGGTTAGCTCCAGACTGATATACATATTGTACTTGTCTCCTAGTGAGTGGTACTAAGTAGATCTTCTGATTAGATGGCTGATGGTCAACAGACATTTGCCACTGACTGAAATGCGATTGAATATGATGGCGCCACGAGGCATATGTACGAGCCAGAAGGATTTACGGTGACTAAAACAAGTGGCAACGTGTTGCTTTTTTTAATATTCCCAATGTTTTTCAAGTGAAATTTTTGTTTGTTATTTTTACATCAAAATATTACCTAAGCCTGAACCAAATCCACACAAATCAAACTCTATACAAAATGTAGAAAAATTCAACAAATTTTCGTCAAACTTTTTATATTGGATCTTTAGCAATTTTTGGGAATGTAATTTTATTTCCCATACAATTTCAGTGTAATGAAGTGCAAATTTTAAGCGGCTAAAAAATCTCGTTAATTTTTGATAATTTTTTATTGCCCTGAAGATGGTTACCGCCACATAACCTCGAGCCGGCACAACGGACAATTTTATCACACAAAAAAAAAAATATATATATATATATTGCAAAATACTGTGAATATTTAATAAAATCAACACTTGGTCATTTGTTGAAGTAACTGCATGCTTTTTTAATTGTGATTTTTTATTATTTAAAATTCTATAGAGCGAATTAGATAGATAGGGTCTGGGTTGGGAAAAGCCAATCTAAAACTTCTATATCTTTGTAACGAATCCAATCTCATGTAAACTTGGCGTTATGATGAAAATGATAATGGACAACCATCATGAGCAAATCATTTCTTAACACTGAAAGCGTTGTTTTTTTTTAGTTTACAAAAAAAAAAAGTAAAACACCGCATAATCCTTTGACTTTTGCTGACTCTGTTATTCTCTATACAAACAAATATTTTCTTAATGCATATTTACTTTTTTAAATATATATGTGCATACATATCCACACCTAGTTTGCCTAGTGAGCATGCACTTACTTTGTACGCGCCCCTTTTTGTACTCTCGTCCGGCTAAAATTACAACTAATTTTCCGCATAGTTTTCCTGCCCCAACTGTTGCGCTCACCATAGCCAACGCACGGTTAATGCTTACCACTACAACTGCTGCTGCTGCAGCAAAAACTAAAACAGTCTAAACAATTACGCTGAAATGCTGCTTGTAACATCAGTGTCGGGAAATTCTTGTCTTCAAATGACCAAAAAATAGGAAACCCAGGCGGGAAAACACGCAAAACCCTGTAGGAAAGTTTTCTGAATATTGTTACAAATCAAGTTTTTCTTCAAATATGCGTTTTGTATTATATTTCAATTTTAATTGCAATATGCTATGTTATGTTGTGTTACGTTATGTTTAGTTGTTATGTTGTGTTGCGTTATGTTAATTAGTGTTATGTTATGTTATGTTGTGTTATGTTATGTTATGTTGTGTTATGTTATGTTATGTTGTGTTATGTTATGTTGTGGTATGTTGTGTTATGTTATGTTATGTTGTGCTATGTTATGTTATGTTGTGTTATGTTATGTTGGGTTGTTATACGTTGTACTATGCCATGAAATATTTTGTTATGCTATGTTATGTCGTGCCATGTCATGTCATGTTATTTTGTGTTATATATTATTGTATTTTTTTATACTTTTCTTTTTTTCACACACTTCTCTTATGCATTCGTGGAACTTTTACATCCCTATATTTCTCTTAAATCCTAATTAGGCCCTATTTAATGAAGCGCCTTTTTCGTTAGGTAACACTGTTGAGTAACCAATTGAGGTTAACAACTCATATTTTCCCTGCAGGGTATGCTATCAACCCCAAACTCACACATACTCTTACATACATATGTATGTATGTACATTTTTTGCACATTTTATTTTTCCATATTCAGCACCGTACTTCCACGCTTATCAGCCATGTCGGTCGTCAGCTGCAGCGGCGGCATCCTCGTCAGCAATGCTAAAAGTTCAAGTTGCTTTTAATTGCAAACGGCCTTGAGGTGTCAGGATATTAAAAGCACCTACATATGTATGTGTGTATGTGTAAATAAAAAATGCGCCCGTAAGCACAAACAAGTACGCTTACATTCGCATTCATTAATTCCATCTGAATTTCTCATTTTTTAGCATCACCTGAAATTACAACTGCCTGCCACTCCACATCCTCAACAGCCCCACTTGGTCACTTCGTTCAGTAAGTTCAGCAGTCGTCTGTCGGCAGTTGTCGTCCTCAACACACATCCTAGTCAACATATCCCTTAACCGCAGTCTCTCGTCTTTTTCCCCTCTTCCCTCTCTCTCTATCTCTCCCTCTCCCTTTCACACCATTATCATCATCTTGTCATGATTGCTGATGGAGATGTTTCCTTTGCTCGTGGTCGACTACTCGCTCGGTGGCTTACTTGCTGATTCTGACGGTTGTTAGTTTGCTTGTTGTTTTGGTTTTTTTTTTCGAAAGTGTTGGTGATGAATGATGTTGGTTTGCGGTTGGATGGCTTGACTTCGTTGCTTACAGCGCCAACATTTGCACTGCTCCTTGCTTGTAACTCAGTTGATATGTTGTTGCTGCTCTGGCGCAATGAGATTTGTAGTGTAACCATCATCATGTGGCAGACAGCGACCGCCATCACCGCTGCTGCTCCTCGTAGGCAAAGAACCATACAAACGGATATTCCCACTGTGGCTGCCGTTGGCAAACCTCACCATAATTCACCTGTATGTTGTCCTCCATATTTGTATTTGTACGAGTAGGTGTGCTGTGCGAATGTGTATGGCATAGCATGGCATGTAATGGCGAAAATCAACTTGCTTTTATACCATTTTCATTAGGAATTAGCAAACGAGAAATGGAATTGTTAGCGGAAATCAACTTTGTATCGGTATTGGTCGACTAAGGGAATTTCCCAAATGTATTGCAATAGTTTGATACGATTGTATGTAGACATGTATCTGTGTTTATATGTACTATACTTTCAAAAATATGTAAATATTTACACATTATTTATGCTCTCATGTGGGCTCATGCCGCTGTGGTTGGTTGATTTGGTTGGAAGGTGAAATCAGAGTTCATCAATGCTATTCAAATTTTCAAAACCAAGTTTTTACGTGTATTTTATTCAAATTGTAAAATTGAATATGTTTTTGCAACAATTCGTTCTTCATACACTGCCGGAAAAAAGTATTGGCACAGTGAAGTTTTTACAATACATGCCAGAACTTTTATTTTTTTCCGCTATTTTTTATACAAATATGATTCATCAACAATTAATATAATTTTTAAACTTTTTGCAAAGCTCAGGAAAATTCAATAAATTTTCATGCAAATTTTCAGCATTTTAATCACGTTTTTTAGAATTGTTTTGAGTATGCAGTTTTGTAGCCTAATAAATTTTATTGTAATAAAGTGCAAATTTGAAGTAGCTTGGACTTACTGTTGATTTTTGGTAATTTTTTTCACACAGTTTTTTCCATACAAGAAAAAATGTTCGGAGATGCTTTGTATGAAACAAATGCGAAATACCTTCAACAAAAAAATTTCAAAATTCAACGCGATTTTTGAATTAATTTAATTTAAAAAAAAATCCATAAAATCTGATTAAAAAGTTGAAAATTTTTCTTGAAACTGTATTGAATTTTCACGATTTTATCACAAGAGTTATAAA